TGGAGTTGTTTGTTCTACAGTAGCTGCTGCAGGTAATTTCCCTTTGTTCCCTGGGTTCTCTCCATTTTCCTTATTCCAGAGCAAGCTGAGTGAGGTCCATGTACCCTTAGATTCTCATGTGGTCATTTTAAATGCAGTGCATGAAGACAATGGGCAAAGCAGTGTTTCAGTAGAGCTGCAGTTCACTTAGAGTTCAGGTTGTCATTTTCTTACTGCTTAAAAGATGACTGTTCGAAACTCTAAAATCACAAGTGTTTGACATTTTTCGTTCTTAGGCAGAACTGGGGTAGGTCTAACTTGTCTTAAATGTGGGTTTATTTGGACAGGGCGTTCTCAAGATGCAAGTGTTTGTCTCTGTTGCTCACTGGTTTAGGATGTGGCGGTACAACACAGAGGTGGTCAGATACTAAAGCAATGCAGAGATCAGTCTTCTCACTTTTCCAGACTCATTTCTTAGAGGTACACTCAGTATAATAGCTGAGGTATCATATAATGTTTATTGGTACTGAGAACTTTTCGAAGCATGGATTTTGAAAAATGAAATTGACCAGAACTCTATAAAACAACTTTGCAAAAAAAAAAAAAAGGTGGATCTGATGTGAAAGAAGAAGGCTGTAGAGTTCCTTAACTAATAACAGGATGTTCTTCTAAAAGACATATAGCTGTTTTCACATTCTGTAATTTGGATTTAAAAAAACCTACCAACAACAAAACCCAAGAAGGTGGATGCCTTCATCTGTGGAGGCATAACATGGATTGGAAATAAAATACTTGAAGTCTGAACCAGTCATATGCAGTACTAAGAACTACCATAGTTGGTCTCTGGTGTAGGCCCACAAGGTCTCGAACTCCAGGTGTGGAAATGAGAATGCCCATTGTGGTGAATGATACAGTTCACACTTTTATTCTCTGGTCGTATTTTCTGGCAGGTTCTCATATCACTGAGATGGAATTACCTCTGCACATTGCTGAATGACCCAAATAGCAGATAGCAGAGATAGAATAGAGAAGGGGAGGATAGAGTGGGAGGGAGAGGAGGTGAAAGAAAACTCGAAACATTTAGGGTCAAAACAATTATTTTTATAGAGAAAATGTTGAGAAACAGGAAGAAAAGTTCTAGCAATGCACAGAGTGAAAGAGGAGAAGTTGTGCAGAGGAGAAAGTTTCATACTTCAAAATGAGATGACCCCACAGTCCAGGATAAACCCCTAAGGAATACTGCCACTGATTCCAATTTAGTTCTGCATTATTTCTGCCGTTAAGTGCTACTGTGCCATACTTTACAGGTCTTTAATTTATGGATCCAATAAGAAATTCTGCCTGTTCTATGAGTTGAGTTGAACAAATAGGTGGGGAAATGGGGACAGCGATGTTACTAGGAAACAGCCAGTGTTCTGCGGAAGTAGCAATCACTGTCTGGAAGCCAGATGCAGAGGACTTAGGTACAGAAGGGGCTGTGAAGTTGTTACAATTTTAAAACAAATCAGTTGCCCAGATAGCAGGTTAGTGGTAAGTTCTCAAATATGGGGAATGACCACATTTGAACTTTTAAAATGATGAAATAGAACACTGGTGAGACTTTCACTGCTCTTACCTGCTTCATCTTGCACACAGTCAATAGACACTGAAGTATATTTAAGGCTGTTGCAAAGGTTTTGTTATTGAGTAGAGAATTCTCTATATCTTGGTGTCATGAATTCAAGATCAGCTGCTGCACTGGAAGATGCTTTTGTCAGGCTTGAAGGCAAGCTTTTATAACTTATCATGCCAATTTTAATTGTGAGGTAAGTAGGTATGAAGAAATATAAAGGGAATATAACTTCTTCTCCCAAGTACCAAGTGATAGGACAAGTGGCAATGGCGTCAAGCTGTGCCATGGGAGCTTTAGACTGGATATTAGGAAAAATATCTTCACTGAAAGGGAGATCAGGTATTGTAACAGGCTTCACAGGGAAGTGCTGGAATCACCATGCCTGCAGAAAATGTGTAAGGTGAGGGCCTTAGTGACATGGTTTAGTGGTGGACTTGGCAGTCCTGGAGTAAAGGTTTGACATGATGATCTTAAAGGTCTTTTCCGATCTAGTTGATCTGTGATTTTTCTAATGTTCTAATGATTTTAATGTCTGAGTTTGTCTCCTTTTTTTATCCTTCATTATGAGTAAACTTAAATAGAATACTTTGGTAGAATTGTGACAGAGGGACAAGGAGAGTCACATTCATACCTCAAGAAGCACATTATTTATTTAATGAGTTTGGTGACAGAAATACGAAGCAACCGTATAATTCTATGGGGATTTTCACATGTGGTCTTACATGACAGAGGAGCTGATCTAACGACTCTGTGATTCAAAGAGAGAAATACTGTTACTTTGGGCTGACGTTTGTGGTACAGAATTGCAGAACCATTGAGGCTGGAGGAGACCTCTGGCAGTCACCTGGTCTACCTACCCCATGCTCAAGCAGGGCCACCCAGAGCTGGTTGCCCACTACTGTGACCAGCTGGGCTTTGAGTATCTCCCAGAATGTGTTATCCACAGCTTCTCTGGGCAAGCTGTGCTAGCGCTAAGTCAGTGACTGTGGAGCATGGCTTCCAGATTTATTAGGCATCAGACCGTCTTCTCTGGAGAACACTTCACGTGGCCCAGCTGTAGGG